GAAATAAACAACGGAAAACATAAAATCCCATAATGGGATTATAACTAGATCATGCACACACATATGCAAATATCAGGTTGCAAAACATAAAGATCCTATAGGTTGCTAGTCAAACAATAACTATACATGTTGTGTTAGAACAACCTCCACCACAACACCGTCATCACCTGCTTGACACCTCAACCTGCTCACCCTCTAACCTAATCCTACCTTAAACCTATAATATGATTATCACAGTTCAAGAATAAGAAAATGCAAGGATAAGCTCATGAATAAGAAAACAATATAATAGAGAAGCAATTAACTAGCTATAAAACAACTTCATTAACTCAACTTGCAACAACAGTCTAAGGCTCAACTTAATAACACAAGCCAATATATCAACTCAATTTTATGACTTAACAACATGGCAACATTTCAACTTACAACACAACTATGCAATTTATCAATATATCAACTTAGTATAAAAATAACATAACTACATCATATGTCATCACATATTTCAATTAAGAGATTTCTTACAATACAAGTGAGTAGTCTAAGTAACTTGACCCAACTGAACTAACAATAACATGATCTTTTTAGCTTTCTAGATCAACAACAAAGTTGGATATCAATCTACAACATAACATAATTTCTAATTTTGCCACTTATACTAGAAAAGTCCAATACTCGTTGTCAAGTATAACATGACTTGGGTTTGGACCTGCCATGACATTGACATGCATCAACCAAGTCACATATGGGAATAGCCCGCCAACTATCCCTGTGATACCATTCACCTTTCTAGTAATTAGTTAAGGATTTTACCCATCAACTTCATACTTTACTTAATTTAGCCACTTCTAAACTAGTATGGCTCGACTTGGTCCCCATATGATATCAACTAAGGATGTAAATGATACTTAACACTCCACTTCAAGATATAACAATACTCAAAAAGGATTTTTTAATATTAGGCTCTTAGAGCATCACAACACATATCCACACATTGGGATATTTCTTTTAAAATAATTCTTCTCTAGTCCCAAGTTCTCAACATAATTCAACATCATGTATTGTGCATTCACAATAGAGTTTTACACAATAAAATACCTTATACATAACTTAACATCTTATAACTTCAAACAACAAGCTACTTTCAACTTTAAAACAACTTAAATCTTCATCATACATCATCAATATTCATGTAAACAACCAACACAATAAGATATGACTTAGAAGGTTACAAGTTTCAAAGGAAATAGGTACTTCAAGCCATGAAGATAGTGCTCAAAGTGAGCGAAATTTGCTCCAAGTGCTCACAAATTGCTTTAAGTGAGCTCAAACACAGAGTACACTTGGAAGAAGTGATCAACTCGCTTAAGTGAGTAAGTTATCAATTTCAGAGACAAGTCAAATAACACCTTTAAAATGGTTACACCAACTTGCTTAAGCAAGTAAGTTCTCGCTTTGAGCGAGCACACCCAAATGGAAAACCCAGCTCAAGAACAAAGTTCATCAACTTAAACAATTCAATTATCATTAACAATTTCAATCTTTCCAACCATACCAAAACAAAATGCAATCTTCAAAAGCAACACATATACATCATAATAACTTGAATTGAACAAGAAAATCAACATGCAACCATATCAAAGAATAAGTTCCTATTTCATCCCACCATGAATAACCATGAAACCTAGAACATCACTCTTTACTTCTTCGAATTCAACCGTCCAACCACTAATGGACAATTCAACAAAAGAATCAACACATGCAACACCATAAAGAGTGATTTATAAGCTTCACTTACCTCAAATCTTCTATAAAAAAAAAGTAGAGAAGGAAGAACAATGAAGAACAGGAGCCTTCAAGCTTTCATTGTTTGACAACTCCAATATTTGATTCTCAATACTCCAATCTTTGAATCTCCAATCAAACACCATAAGTTTGCTATAGGGAAGGATTGAGACGCTTCTATGGAGTTAGAAGAAGAAAAGAACTATTTTGCCCTCAAAATTTATCTCTGTAAAATCTCTTTTTACAATTTTTAAGAAAATATTATATACCTTGCCCTAAAACTTGGTCAACTTTAACCTCAATACAAGACAACCCCTAAACAACTAAAGTCATAATTTTTTTTTAATCTTTAGAGTTTTAAAACATTTAAAACAATGACAACAACATAAGTCATTTAATTGACATCAATTAAATAAATAATAAATCACAACTAGTTAGAGATAAAAAAAAAAGATAAACAGTTAAGTAGATTAAATATATAAATATGAATATAAAAATAAAAATAAAAATAAAAATAAAATGATTATCATTTAGACTAGTTAGAGATAATTTTTCTCACCAAAACACCAATTACATAAATAGTGTGTAAAATATATATCCAATATTTTGAAATAATAAGTATTTTATTGCTTTTTTTAATAAATATTTTATTGATTATAGAAAATATATAATTGAAAGAAAAGAATAAAATATTCTCTGAATTATATATTTGAATTTTATAAGATATAAATCGACTAGGATTATATATGTTTTTTCTTAAACATTTTATCGTTATTTTTATTTTTTTTAAAATTTCTGAACAAATATTTTTATTAATTTTAGTCTTTAAATTTTATAAATTTTAACTTTTAGTTTTTAAACTTTTCATTCATTAATATTTTAATTTTGGTTTTGAAAGCATAATTTTTTATTCATAAAAATAAATTCAGAACTAAAATTAAATAAAATTTTAAAAATTAAAATAAAACTTAAAAAATTTAGGTTCTAAAAATATATTTAATACAATCAATTATATTTATATGTATATATTTATATATTTATGTAGTTTGAATTAATTTAAGGTGCAATAGAAAAGCAGTTGAAGATTAGCGCCGCACAGCTCCTCTTCCCTCGCCGCTCTCTCTCGATTCCAATTTCCAACCCTACATCCACTCTCCACTCTCATCGCTTCTTCTGGTACCTTCCTTTTCCTCTCCCTCTTCCTCTGTTTACGACTTTATAATGTTATTGCAATGTAATTGTTGATTTGGTTTCTCTATTAGAATACCAATTAAGTGAACATTAGTTTTCCTTTTGATGTTTAGTCTATGGTTTGTCATAGGGATGATTTTATCTCACTTATGCTTTTGATTTTTATATAACTAAGCTTAAGCTCCCTTCAATATTGCCGTTTTCTTCCTCTGACTGTGAAAGATGCCTCGTACAACCACTTTGGAGTGCTCTGGTTGCCCTCCACTTCGTGCTCTAACGTTTGACGCGCTTGGTCTCATCAAAGGTGATGATTTTTTCGCATGCCCTTTTCTTACTTGTCATGAGATGTCACTTTCTTTTTCTTATCTTTTTGGGTTTGGCTTGTGTTGTTAGTTGTGGAGGCCCGTGATAGGCAACGAGGAGTTCCCCAGGTGGTGGAGAGATGGGGCAACTCTGAAGCATCCAAATGTGTCACTGCTGTTTCGATGATTGACCGCAACTCCAACCCTGTATGTGTTGGATTTTTTTTTTTTCCTGTTGTGGGTATGTTTATTGTTTGAGTACAACTTTGTTCTGTGTGTTGTGTCTTTCTTTTAACCCTTGGAGATGGAAATTGAGAAACAGTGAAATAAAGCTCCCAATGCATGTCTTCCCAATGGATTTGCAGTTTCAGATTAAGTAGTTAATTATCCAATATCCATTTTTGTCTTCTCCTCTTTAGTTGTAGCCTGTAGGCATTCTTTGTACCTGCTGCTGGATAAATCTTGTCGTAGGTAGTTTGGTTAGATTTTTGCCCCTCATTTAGGCAGTGAATGTAAATTAATACATTAGAGTGTAAGTGTGTATAAAAGAAGTGATATAAAATGAAAAGAACTAAAATGGGGCGAGGACAATGTATCCTCATTCCTCAAGATACCATCCCTTTGCAGATCTTATATGGCATCTCCCCCAAATAATCAAACTGGATGTATGTCTCATAGATGGATAATCTATTTAGTTTACAAGCTGTTGAATGGATACCTTGAAATATTTGTTCTTTTGCAATGGTTAGTTATTAATGTGCATACCTGCGTTCATAGTGGTCTGGTGGTGAATGCATGGCATAGAATTCTACATATACTTTTTTTTTTGTGCGTGTATAATCTGGTTTAGACAGAGGTTTATATTATAATTATAGTGATGTAGGAATAAAATATGTATGAGATTTTTATTTTTAACCTTTGTACTAATGTAGTTATAAATATTTATGCACTCCTTAACTTTGAATTTGGAAGGAGATAGAATGAAATATAGAGAGAGGGATATAGGATGGAATAACCTGATTGATATTGCTTGAATGTGTTGTGTAGTAGATTGGTTATGCAGAACATCTTTAATTCTCTATATATAGACTTATATTGGGGTTTATTTCAAAGGTAAAAGAAAAAAGTAAATGAGTGCTACTTCCTAAATCCTAAAATGCTAATTCCTTTGAAAACATTTGATTCATGAACTCGTGTGATGTGTAATATATGAATTTCGTGTTATTCTAACACAACAACATTTGAGCCTTATTCATTATATTGGGTTGATTATATAGATCAGTTCATGGCATTAACTTCTACTAAAACCATTTAGAACAAGGGATTTTTTTAATGATTTCTTGTAATGTTTTTTTGTCATTCCTTAGTCTCTTCAATCTATCTTTATTCTGATCCACCTTTCTCTCTGGAGTCTACTATTCTTCCCACACAACCAAACAACTTTAGGCGAGTTATCATCCTCTCTTTCATAGATGCTGCTTGTACTTTTATTGAAATACGGTCATTCCTAATGTTATTGACTTTTGTATATCATCAGCGAACTCATCTGCTTAAGCATTCTCTTTTTCACTAAAATTATTCTTTTATTTCATTGGCACTATACCACCATGCATTCACTACCTGACTAACATATAACATTGTTGGTTGTCTATCTGTTTGGTAGAGCTTTCCTTTTAGTTTGACTCTAAAGAAATGAAACGGAAAAGATTCTCATTATTTTTCTATCATTTCTGATATATTGCAGTTACTAGCTGTAGCAAGGAAAAACAACCAAGTAAGTTATTTCACGGCTCTATACTTCTATTGTTTGATTTGGAAAAGGTTTGATTTTCTATATTTATTATTAAACATTTAGCACTTATATATTCATTCTACAGATTGAGATTTTGAGCCCTGTAAATGGAGATATTCAGGCTACAATTTCGGATGCCAATGATTTAGATATTCGATCTGAAGAGAATAATATTGTTGGTTTGCATTTATTTGCAAAACAAGATTTGGATTTAGCTTCCAGGTATATCAATTGCTGTTCTCTTGACTGTTTAACTTAAGCTTGTCTTTTATTCTCGTCCTTCAATTAAGGTATTCTTCTTATTATTACTATTATATTATATAAGCCATACCTTAATATAGTTTTGGTCCTTTTAGATGATTGCTTGACTAGAATATCAGAAAAACTTAGAAGTTTAAGCGTTTAGTATTCTGACCCCAATTAGAAATGTTTACTCTAGGAAAAATAAGGATGGAACCTACAAATCAACTGGATGGCCACTGTTAGTATGGCCTTTTTAGTTTTGGGTAGACTTTGTTACTAAAGCTGTTGGGGTCAGTGAATTGGTTAGGTTGCTATAAAAGAGCTAGAAAATGTAATTGGAACTTGGTATCTTATTAGAAAAAAAATAATAAATTCTCCCCCGAATACAGTGGCTAACTAGCAGAACTTTTGTAGATCTAGATATCCCAATGCGCAAAAGCTACGATGCTCTGACAAATGATGGGACGTCTCTTAACCTCCCTTGTTATTTATAGGCAACCTTATTTCTTTAACGAACAAACTTCTAACTATTTATGTTACTAATTAACTAACTAACTAATGGGTATCTATAATAAAGTTGAAGGAATTGGTTAGTTGGTCAATAATTCAGATTTCAGCTCTTGAATTCCTGGGAAAGACTGAATGGTAGTATTGCTCTTCTTGACCCTGGATACTCATTGATACAGAGTTGGAGGAGGGTATCCAAAACAATTTTCCTTACTTGTTGTTGACCTCTATATTCTGAACTTGTATCTTCAGTCTATGCGCATTCATGTTCAAAGTACATTAATTACTTGCATTATGCTCTTATGTATGTATGTGTGAATGTATCTGTTGTTGCATGTGTGTGACTGTCTTATCAGCTACTTGTTTTTGTGTTGGTGTTCTCCCTAAATCATTTGGGTGTGGTGATTGTTTTTAGGTATTGTACTCTACTTTCATGCACAACCAAAGGAAATGCAAGCATAAGGTCTGTTGAAGTTGCTGATTCATCTACAGGATCTTCCTGTATTGATTCTCCAAAAACATGGAATGTATGTTCTGGTGGTAACATCTTGTGTTCCAAGGTTGATGGAAATGAGAAGTTTGCTTTATTCGGAGGGTGAGTTTATACATTTTGCATAAATGTGACACAGTAACTTGAAAGTTCAGTTGAATGCAAAAATGAGTATTAAACAGTTTTAATAAATTAAGTATTCAACTTTGATAATGAAACATTTTATGAATACAAAAGAGATGAAGAAAATATAAGACAATTCACCAGACATGGTAAAAAATGGGAACCTACAAAAGGAAAGGATATTCAAAATAATGGGTTGTTCTGCTTTGAAAATCAGACAGGAGGTCCCCTAAAATAATGATTAGCAAAGAGATTTCTTTTCAAAAGACCATCCTCTTCTATAGTGGCTCAAACACCATAATAAATCCACAGCTTTGTGGGCAAACATGCTTTATACAATAACTCCTGATCAAATTCCTCATAATAGATAACACTTGACTCAACCAAACTGTAAAAGCAAATAATTGTTGCCTTTGGAGTTTGGAGATTACAAAATTTGTAATTTTCAGAAGTAAAGCTTTATGTGGCCTCTGCCATCCCAGCTGCTTATTTGTGATTGGTGCAATGAAATAACATTGGCTATTGGGCCTGAAAGATTTGACAACTTGTTTGCTTGTTGCATGCTAATTTCAAGTGGCATTAAGGATTTTCTGCACAGTCCAGTTACCAAAATGTATATGGAATTGAATTGTTTCATGAGTTTGAGGAAGCCAAATAATCTCCAATGGAGCATTTCATTATGGAAGGTTCATAAAGTGAAATGCTTAATGAAATACTGGCTTCCTTACTGCAGAAACATGTATAAGATAGATTATGCAACAATTTCAGGGATATTATAGCGAATGTAAACAACGGAAAATGGGGTACATGTATCCATAAACTTTGAGAATCTAAACAAGTTGTCACTGACACATAACTGTTATCTGTACTTATTTTGAGCTGAGAAGTAATCAATATGTACTTAACCTGTAGGAAAGGTGTTGAAATTAATATTTGGGATCTTAACAACTTCACTAAGATCTGGAATTCTAAATCTGTGAGTCTTTACTTCAACCCCTACTTTTCATCTTTGTCATTAATTTTTAACTTCCTAAAGTTTATCTTTTCGTAGTGCACATTCCTTTTCAAGTGCTTGATTTTGCAATTCCTCTTAACCTATGCAGCCACCAAAGAATAGCCTTGGTATATTTACGCCGACTTGGTTCACATCTGCTACATTTCTTATGAAAGATGACCATCGAAAATTTGTTGCTGGCACCAACAGCCATCAGGTAAATTTAATTAGTGGATTCTTCTCAAATTCTAAAATAAATGAAGAAACGTATTTTCTTATGACTAGCTAATAATGCATGGAACATTCCTCTTTGATATCCTTGAAAAAGGTGTGTTAGAGAGACTATTGAATAGGATTAATAATTTGTTCTTGACCTAGAATTACAGAGAAAGAGAAAATGATATTTTGCAAGAAATCTCTTTAAAAAGAATAGTTGAGTACATGATCTTTAAGTCACTTAAGATCTTTCCCATTTAATCAACAAATATAAAGTAATATGATTTCAAACGGCAGATTTGCTTTTTTCTTAACCTTTTCAATTCAGAGAGGGAAAATTCTTTGTTTTTGTTATTTGTTCCTCTAGCAGCTCTACATAATTATGCGTTGTCCCATTACTCTTTACAACCTTGATCTATTGAACAGGTTCGCCTTTATGACATCTCTGCTCAGAGGAGGCCTGTTCTCTCCTTTGATTTCCGTGAGACTCCAATTAAAGCACTGGCTGAGGATATAGATGGTTACTCAATCTATATAGGGAATGGGTCAGGTGACATGGCTTCTGTTGATATACGCACAGGTATCCCATAGTCATAGGAAAATTATCATGAATTTAAGAACAGTAATTATAGCATTGTTTAACATGCTCCCATAGTTAACTATTTTTCCTTGATATTCATTATCCTGAAGTCCGTGTGAAACAAAATGCAACCATGCTTGCATTTACCTTTATGGAGGACAAAAGTTACTCTGGATTTTAGCTCAGATTAAGCTTAAGATAGCAAGATACCCGTATAAAGTTTTATTTATGCCTTGTTTAACCTCTATGCTGGCACACTTGTGCAGGTTCAACCACCCACTGTCTGAAACCCAACCATCAAACTATTTCCCATATAGCTTAATCAAGACTATATAAATATCAATTAATATTAGGTGATGGGTTCTAATAATTGTTTATCAAAAGTTATAGTATTCTCCATACTTCCTTTTATTGATGAGAGAGGGAGGGGGTCTTTTTCAGAATTTGCGTAACAGTTCTCTCAAAATATGATTATTTATGGAAGTATAGTTGAGAAGCTTCACTTGGCCTTGTCGCTAATCTATCCACATGCATTATTGGTTGTCAAATGGTGGAATTGCATCAACTTAGCTTCTATTTGTTACAAACTTTATTTTATTTTATTTTGCTCCTGTTGTCTTATTTGGGACATATTACACATTGTAGAAAAAGCGACAAAAACTTGCTATCCCAAATAGAAAGGTGGCAGTGGGAGACTGAGAAAATCTATTGGTGAAATAATTAATAAGGATTTAGAGTTCAATATTTTATCTGTAGTCATGATTTACAATGGAACATTATGGTGCTGTTTGATACATGGAACCAACTTTGCTTAGTCAGAAAAGGCTTGGTTGTTGCTGTTGACCTTTTTAAATGAGTTTTTCTTTTTAATTTTTTTTGCAAATAATTTTATTGCAGGAAAAATGCTTGGATGTTTTTCTGGAAAATGCTCTGGAAGCATCAGATCCATAGTCAGGCACCCTGAGCTACCTGTGGTAGCTTCATCTGGTTAGCTTACTTTGTATCCCCTTCATTTACTACATATTCTTTTTATTGCAATGAAGGTTCTCTGATGCAGTCTTTGTATCCCTAAAATTTATTACTTGTTTCTAAAATTGTTTTGGTTTCCGGAACAAATTTTATATCTTCTGTTACAAATTTATAGCTTCATGTATCTTTTGCATGATTATTCCTAAAAGTCATCCAAAAAGTCATCCAAAAAGTAAAGTCGTGTAGTTATTGGATCACATTTTTTCTAGATGATACGTGATTCATATTTCTCGGTCTGATAAAAATATATTAAGTTCCTGTAATCAATTCATTTTGCAATACCCACCCTAATGATATATCATTATCTTTCTTTTCAGGACTGGACAACTATTTACGCCTCTGGGATACAAAGACAAGACAGCTTCTTTCTGCTGTAGGTTTTATACCCCATTTCTTTGTCCATGGCAGTATGCTCTGTAGTTCTTGTTGTTGGTATATATAGGCCTGGAAATAAAATGATTCGGTGATATTTTGTCCATTATAATTTCTAACCTATTTATTGGAATATCATATAAAGTGACCCTGTTATAAAACCTATAAACTAAAGCCCATTAACCTGTGTTAAGACTAAACCTATATTCTCATAGGGACTTCTTTGTATTTCTTTTAACTTACTCAGTTTTTCCTATACTGTTAAGAGTTGTGAGGGCCATGGAAAAAGATCGTGTATTGTGAAGAAACCCAGTTTTTTATGGCTTTGACATGGAAACCTTTCTTCAGTCGAACTAATTAGGATCCCCAATGGTTGTTAGAATTTCATGTAATTTGTAGTTATTTTTGGATTATAGTTGTTGGTATCTGTAAACTTTTAGTTAGTTGGTTTTTAAATAATTCTGTATTGATATCATAATCATTTATATTATTTTTACTGATTGCAGGTTTTCCTGAAGCAACCTATTATGCACGTTCTTTTTGACTCTAATTTTATTGTTAAAGGTTAGTATTTTTCTTCTTCAATATAGCATTATAAGATCTTCAGTGTCAGTGATTCTTTTTGCCTGGAGTCTCACTAGTGTTGCACCTTAGCATTAGTTTGATGAACAAGAAAACTTGGGTCTGAAACAAACAATGATTCAAGGGATACAGCTGTCAGTATTCTTTCTGATATATTAAAATAATCAACTTGTTAAGAGAGTCCTGTATAATTTAGTAACAGGCACCGAAATGGATTTGTTGTGGATGTTATGCTCCTCCAAAATCTCACAATGCTTTAAGGCTTAAAATTTCCTTTTATGTCTCTGGGTTACTTTATTTTTGTCCTAAATCGCTGTCCTTGCTATATCTCAACATTTATATGCTTTTTATTATTACCATGATGACTTTGGTGATTGAGGTTATTGACTTATTCTACCAACACCTCTAATTTTATATAAGCAAATATATCCTCAGGAGCGGTTTTGCTACCGTGCAAGGAACAAACTCAGCCCGAGATCATGGTTAATGAAGAAGTTGAAGTGTCACCTTTGAAAAGAAAAAAATCTTCCAGAAGCAAAGAACACATACTAGATGGCAGTGAAAGAAAGAAAAGATCTAAACAGAGCAAAGACCGCAAGAAGTCTGAAGGAAATGATGAACATCTGAATATTGCATCAAGGGATAAGAAAAGCAAGTCAGCATCCAAGAAAAGAAATAAGAGCTCAATTCCAGGGTTGTGATTTAGATGGATCAAGTATCATATGATATAACCAAGGTATCTCAACTAATATTGGGATGCATGGTGATGAAGGCAAAGTCTGAATTCTGTTAGGACTTTGTTTTTAGTGATTAGATCAGCTTGGGTGAGTAAGTGACTCAATTCATATGGGAGTGCTGATGTGAATTTTGTTCAATTTTGTGGATTCTTCACGAATACGAGATTAGTGTAACTTATTCAACATAGGAGGTGATTTAGGTTTAGGCATGACTCAGTTCATGGCAAAATGTTCAGTATTTTGCTTTGCAATTGTCAGCTAGTAGCCAATCCATTTTGCTTAGGTTTGAAAATGCTTTGCATTTCATTTTTGTTATCAAGCTATGAAACATGTTTAAGTTGATATGTCTTATGTGATTAAAATATTATATCGGCTAAATGTAGAAGGTTTTAGTGTCTAGCCAATAGTTATCTTCTATTCATACTTAATATTCATTTGAACTTTTGGTCATACCTGAGTTCTCGCTTTGAAATGCAGTTCGTTTGTGAATGATATAGGATTCTAGATTTTACAATGTAGAAAAGCAATTTAGGAGGGACCATATCTATATAAATTAACGGGAGCTTTAAAATTGACATTAATAGTGTGTTTGAATAGAGAATTTAAATGGAGTAATTTATTTATTTAAAAAATTTTAAATTCTTTGAGGTGAAATATTTTGTTTGGATGAAAAATTTATAAAGAATTTGAAATTCAAGCATTTGTGAAATTCCTTGAAATATTAGAATTTTAAATTCTTAAAAAAAAAGTAAGAATTTAAAATTTCTCATATTTTTTTTCTTCTTATTTCACTTATATATTTTATCTTATTTCTTATCTCTTTAATTATTGAATATTCAAAAATATTTTTAAAATTATTAAATATTATTTAATATTTTTTTAAAATTATTAAATATTTAAAAATTAGCTAATATTTATTTTTATAAAAATTTAATTTAAAAATATTAATATATAAATATATTTTTAAAATTAATTTTATCATGGTGAAATTAAATTATCATATCCTGCTCAACAATTTCAAATTTGAGAAATTTAAATTGATTTATCCAAACAAAATATTTTAAAAATGATAGAAATTGAAATAAAGTAATTTAAATATCAAGAATTTAAAATTATTTTAATTTGTAAAATTCTTCATCCAAACACATCATAAGGAAAAAAATTTCTTATCAAGAAAGAGGACGATATTTTTATGTTTTTAATATAAACAAAATTTTATTTTTTAAGCTTTTCTTTGTCTCTCATTGTTTCTTTGGCAAAGAACTAATGTTAACAAGCTTTCTTGGAATTAAAACTTCTCAACAGTTATCCTTTTTCTTTCTTTCTTTCTTTTTTTTTTTTTTCTTTTTTCATTTTCCTTAGATTAGCTTAATGTTATCTGCTTTGTTTGTAAGTGACTGAAATCACCATTAATGACTAAACTGATTGGTACGGACAATAAAATGACATTATTAACATTAATTTATGACAAATTCAAGTATCAACAATGGTAACAAATTAAGGCAGACACTCTTCTGTTCTAGGCATTACTTGTAGGTTTGCGCATTATTGATTGCAATGTTTAAAGATATACAACTATATTTGAGTAAACGCAAAAAATCTAATGTATTTGGATAACTATCAACAATTTTGGTCTAAAAAATTATGGTAATTTTTTTCTTAAAAGAATTGTTTTGATTTTCAATATGGAATTGGAATTAATTCTAGAAAAATAGAATTTAATTCAAACACCTACTAAGTCAATATGTAAACTTTTTTTTTTTTAAAGTAGAATTGATCCTGACATTTTATGAACTTTGGGCAAAACAATAAGGTATTATACACTTATATAAAAATAATTTAAATATAAATATTTATAATATAAAAATATATACATGATTTTATTAAGGTTTGATATATCATTTGGTTTATGAATTTTTTTAGAATTTTTAATTAGGTTTTAAGTTATTTTTTTTTTATAATTTGGTCCTTCGTCTTTTTATTTTATCCCTACGATTAAAGATTCGTTTATAATTCATGATATTTAATTTGACATAATATTTTTTATTTCCTTGTAATTAGTCAATCATATTAAATTATTATGTAATACCATCATTTATGTATATTAGATTTTAAACTTTAATGATTAATATTTTTTTATTATTTATATGATTAAAGAAATTATGAAAATTTTTATACGTAAACATATATGATGATATATGAAATAATAATTTGAAGTGACTTTGCAGATATAAAGATATTAAAAAAAGTCATTTTATGAAATGTAAATAAATCTCTAATCTTAAAGGTTACATTAAAAAAAAAATAAAAAAATAAATGATTCGATTACATCTTTTTTAGTTTAGAGACCTAATTAAAAATTTTCAAAAAGTTCATATATCAAACAATTTACTAAACTTTTAATCGAAAATAACATGTTTTTATTACATTAAAGAAATAACAATTTTAACAAATCTAAAATAGATATACTATATTTTTTTATTCAATTTAATTTTATACTATCGTTTATCATAAAATATTATATATATATAAATTTAAGGATCAAAAGTAATATATTTCCAAATTAGAAAAAATAAATAAATTAAAAAACTAGAACCAAATTATTTTTTTTAGAGGAATCAAAAACATATTTTTCCCTTTTATAAATATAATACATAAAAAAAAAATTGTTATAAAGATAAAAAAAACATTATAATTGTATTATTTATTTTTTAAATATAAAAAATATAATTTTAATTTACTTTTAAAAATAATAAAATAATATAAAAATTATAACACTATTATATAATTTTCTTAAAAAAAATAGATCCTTTTAATCATGGAGCCTGGGCAGTGGCCCATGAAATTAAGGCTCAGAGCCGGCCTGTTTTATTTTTTTTCAATTAAGTAAAAAAAAAGGTACTTATTTATGCATTCTCTCTTGATTCAAACGGCAAAGAGAGGTACTTCAAACAGACGAAAAGTAAGAAAAAGGAAAACAGAAAAAAAAGACACAACTGAGGTGGAAATGGTGGACACACAAAGTAACAAAATGAGAACAATAAATACGACAGAAGCTGTAGATATGAAAGTTCTAGTATGGCAAATCGCTTCTGCGTCTAAGTATCTCAACCCCTAAGCAATCAAGTTGACCCTCGACTGGCACATGAGGCTTTATAATCTTCACTCTTACAGCAGATATTTGTTTATGATTTCTCAAAGTAGTAACTGCAATTTTTTGGGACAGTGACTCCAGAAGGTTGTGAGGTGACCCTTCAAGAACTTCCTTAGCTATACTGCATCACCAATTATTCATATGTTAATACTATTGCAGCTACTAAAGTAGTAAAGATTTAATTACTCATTTCATCTTTATTTTTTATAAGTTTTATGTTTTATTCTATAAACCAAGAAATTACTTGTTTTAGTCATTATCATTTTAGATATATAGATATGGAGACTAAAAAACATAAAGATTGCGATATAGAGAGACTAAAACATAATGATTAGTAAATGAGCAATATAAAGAGTGGCACTAATCAAAGAATGAAAGCAGAAGAAAGATGTGATGAATTTGTTGGTGGCTCACTCAAATATTTGTGTGTAATCAACAGCATCTGATAAGTGGTCAGATTTGCCAGCTGGGGTGAGATCCATCCAAGCATCAATATCAACCATGAACTTCTGGCCCAGTGTCCTTTCTTCTGGCCTTGCTCCATGAAAACCATAGAATGACAATCCCCTCAGTATCAGTTTGTCTCCCAATATCAGTGCTTCAGATTCCATTTTTTCTGCATATCAATCAAACATAATAAGTGTTCTTTGTTAGACCCAAAACACAAAACATAACTCTGAATCACAAAAGGAGCAACATTTATTAAACCATCCCATATCCCTCAAAAAGGTTGCTTGGCTGAATTTTATTAAGCATGAATACTTGTACGGGCAGTTACTATCCACTTCAAATCTAAAATTAAATTACAATAAAAATAATAGAATTCAAATCTAAAACCTCATGTATACTATTTCAACTCGGTTATGATTCCGTGTTACTTGGAAAAGCAAATAAATTGTACACGTGCATAAGTATTAGAATTTCAAACCAGAAAAATAAGACAGATCCAGACACAATTTGGATAATTAATAAGTTTACGATCTCTATGCTTGAAACTCGTATGTAAAATGAAATCACTAACTAGCATGCAAATGGAATCTCTCACCCATGCCAAGGCAAAAGTAAGGAATAAAATAAAACAAAGAGGAGAATGAGAAACCTAGGAAGAATAAGATGAACGATGATCGATCTCTGGAAGCAACATATATGAGTTTCGAAGTCAACGTATGGCTGTGGAATGAACAAAATACAAATGCACAAATTCCAAACGAAGGAGAGCCAAATGATTTTATAGTTAATTTTTAGTATACCACGTTAAACATGCGTTGTATTTTTGGTTTTTTTATTTGCACGCTCAATCTGCAGAGAATCCACGGGTTCTCGGAAAAACATTAATTATTGGCACTAGGAATGCTTGTTCTCAAATTTCATCGGTAAAACCTCTTTCACTTGTTCGTTTGTTTTTCTTTCCTCACATTCCATACTAGTTACATTTGTACGAAAAAATAGAAACTTAGTTCCAAAATTTTAAAAACAAACATGATAAATTATTATCAGTACCATTCGGATAAATTTCAAGATGGTCTCACCAAGAGGTCTTGGTCAAACCCTTTTGCCTCCTAGACTTAGAACTTGAGGATAAGTATAACATCCTGGATAAATTTCGAGATGGTCTCACCAAAAGATTTTGATCAAATCCTTTCATCTCTTAAGCTTATGACTGGAAGATAGGTGTATTATCCTCGATAAATTTCGAGAAGTTCTTGGTCAAGATCCCTAGAGAGGTCTTGGCCGATACCTGAACGATAAAAGCATGGTCTAGGAGATATTAGGAGATCGATAACATGCTGACTTCTAGAGAGAGTCCCTCCCAAGAAAGGGGATCAGAATAATTTCGTAATAAAGAGTTATATTAAGAATAAAAATCTTATTTTTAATAACTAAAAATTATAGTACTAAAGCTATTTTAGAAAATTTCGATATTTTTGGAGTGTACAAGACTTATCAACAAGTAATTATAAAGACTAAAAACCTAAATTTAAAATATTAAATTACACTCTTGAATGCTCTGTTTTTTATAGTTCAATTAGAATAAATCCTGACATCTTTCTAGGCACTGAATGGATTGAGGTTGTAAGACAAGATAAAAAAAAAAGAAAAAATATAATAAAGAAAGTATATATATATATATATATATATATATGCAATAAAAAGAAGAAGAAAAAAGAGATCAAAGTTGTAAAAGAAAAAAGTTGTATAATAAAGTGCTCAAATTAATTGTTTTTTTTTTAAAGGTTTGAATCGTGGTGATTCTGACGAATAAAAAAAAAAATTAAATTTATGTACAGAGAAATAAATAATAAAAAGAAAAAGCACATTTGTCTAGTAATAAATACAAGACGCGAGATGCCAACTGCCACTTTGGATTTTGTGGGTTGTAAAGCACCTTTGTAAATTAACACATCTTTACCTTAAATAAGTGTTTTTTTTTTTTTTTTTTTTTTTTTTTTTTTTTTTTTTTTTACAGAAACCATAAATAAGTTTTGGGTGATTATAAAATGGGTAAAAAAAATATTTTTGTTGTTGTATATTTTTAAAAAAAATTTTTTATAAAAAAGTAATTTTAGTTTTATGTAATACGTTTTCTTATGTTTATTTTTTAAATTTTAAAATTACTATTTTAGTTTTTTACATTTATTTGAAAGTAGATAAATAATATTATCTTTCATGATTTTTTTGACCTGATATCATTCGAGGAGAATAGATTCTCTGCATTGACAATATCACTACATGAGAATTTATCTCTTCAATAATTTTTTTTGTTGGTATAACATTTTTATAATGAGGATGGGTTTTAGCAAAATAAATGGTGGGATCTCACATGACTATCTCACATTTTTATGTTTTTTTTTTAATTTTTTTTATCTTACTTAATACTTTGTCTGTATCTATTAGAAATATAAAAAAAAAAAAAATTTACACATTAAAAAATTAGTTATATATATTAAATTTTATTAATCTCATAATATTATTTCTAAATTATCCTTGTTATAAATGTAAAAAAAAAATATAACACAATTGAAAATCATGAGAGATATTTTAGAATAAATATTATTAAATAAGCTAAAATTGGTTAAAATTTATTTATATTTAAGAACAAATAATGTGTTTGTATTTTTTACTTATAACATAGAATAGATGGTGTAGGCAACATCTTACTTCATTTAACATGGTCAGTTGACAATTTTCTTAAATATTAATGACTGAGATTAAAAAAATTTAACTCATTTGTCCCAACTTTTTTTTAAGTTTCCAAATTGGTCCTTTATTCTTCCATTCTCCCTGCTCATTCATTTTCGAGGTTAATTTTTTTTTCCTAATAATAAACAGTTTGATTCATGTCATATATAGACATAAAACTTGTCTTAATTTTTAATTATTATTTTTTTGGCAGAGGAATTTTTATTATTTTTTAAAACCTAATTAACCTTCTTCTTCCATTCAAAATATGAGACTCTTGCTCTAAACGTGGTAAAAAGTAAAAACAAACTCTGTTTATTGGGAAAGTGGGTTATGGGAAAGCAAAATCCTTGGGAATTGGGCTTTCACGGTCTCCAAACAAAAATACTAGTACTTCTGTTACGAACTGGGTTGGGGCATGGATGTGATAAAAAGAATTTATTTTGGGCTGAGATACTTAGATATAAGTATAAATATGTCTCAACACATGAAAGGTGCAAATAATTCAAAGGAATGAATAAATTTTCCAAGATTGAGTACGTGTTTGAATTTTAGCTAAGAGAACTCGAGTATTTTTATTCTCAAAGAAATTATGTTTTTTCTAATTAATTCAAACATAACATGAAATATCAAAGTAATATGGTTCAAATTCTGTTATTATTATTATCGTAATTCTTGCGTATATAAAAAAAAAAACATAACATGAATCAACCCGGATTCAACTCGTAAAGAGCTGCAATGAATCTAACTAATACATGATGGGGGCAAGTTTTTTCTTCCAATCTAAAACTTATTGAAGTTTTTGGTTTAAAAAATATATAAAACTTTACATCTGATACATTTTTATAAACGAGAAACTAAAAGCATACATTTTTCTTTTGAAGGATGAAAAATAAATATTTTTATATTTATAAAGAATAAAAATATATGTAATTCGTGATTTTAAAGCAGGTATCTGTTTAACTATTCAGGGTTTTACTTAAATCCCTATAGGTGTAAGGTATTTTAGGAGTTTTTTTCTTTTCTTTTCTTCTGCCATTCTTATTAGGATTACTTTATTTTATTGTTGAAAAAAAACAATGAATTAATCCAAAAAATAACCCATTCACACTCATTTGACTAACGAGTTAAAGTGGGTTGAGTTCCTCGACTCAATCTCCATCTTTTTACAATTTAATTAGACTGGTTTAGATGTTAAATTTAACTCATTTTATCCTTCTTAATTTATATTTAATTTTTAATTATAACTTTTCAATATTTAAAAGATTAAATTAAATTGTGAATCTCTATAATTTTTGTAAGATTTTAATCAAGTCTTTACGGTTAAAAATACTTAAAAAGATTCTTATAATATAAAAAAACTTGTAATTAAATCATCACATTCTAACACTCTTATATGTCCATTAGTTTACGCTGATTGAATGTTGTGGCATGATAGTGTTTATTTATTTATTTATTTATTATGTTAACATATTATCCTAACAACGTAATCATCCTTTTATTTTTATATATTTTAAAAATACAAATCCCTGATTTTATTTAGCTCACAATATATGAGAGTCATAGGTTTTGTCATATGCTAATTTTGTTTTAACCAGGTGTTGATGCCACAACGAAGCCCTTATGTAATTTCTTTTTTGCTTTGTTCGTGGACAACCTTTGGTAGTACCAACTTCTTTTTATCCTAACTAGTTAAGCCCTTAAGGGCAGAAAGCTTTTGCTTTTCAATGGTGCATCAAGCATATAGGCAACATTCATTAGAGTATTACAATCACCGTTTAAAATAAATTACCATATTCAAGTGTGTTTGAACGAGGAAATTCAAAAACTTCTAAAAAATACAAAAGATTCAAATAAAAGACTTTTTGTAACGCCCGATACTAACGCCCAATTTATATAATAATAATTATATATTTTCTTATATAATATTTTTACAATTATATCGTTAACAATATTTTTTTTTATGGATAAAGATAAAGAAACAATCATATTTTGTGAATTTAATACATGATATATCGTTCTAAAATATTTACAATAATGTATTATTTTACCCAATATATTTTTCTTTCACTTTTATTACAATATTTACATTGATAGTGAAAATAAATTTACAAAAATTGTAATAGATTCATCAAATAGCCTCCACATTCCAATTCCTTCCAAGGAATACCACAGCTATAACAACTGCAAAATGATCTGGAATCCAAAGTAGATCCATCTATTTTGTAATATATTTAATTTATAAAAACAAAGAAAAGAAAGGAGTAAGAACAATATCCAATAAATATAATAACTCAAAAGAATATACAGAATTATTTATAATCAATATTAAACACATATATATATATATATATATATATATACAGATCATATATTAAATTTTCATGATACAATAAAATTTGAATTATACTTGTAGTGACTAGTCAGGATAAATGAGCATTATCATAACATCAACCAATAAAAGGATATTTCACCTTAATCAACAATAGGATATTTCACCTTCATTTCTTACTCATTTAAATCCCCAAGGTCAAACCTCCAGCTACAAATAATTCAAACTTTATCTTCTATGGCCATAGAACAATATTTATCTTCATAAATACGTGAAGAAATAACAACAAAACGAGTCCAAGATATCACAACTATAACATAGTTGATTATAAATATATTTACAATAAATATATCTATGTAAAAAGAATATATTAAGAATACCAATGATATAAATAAAAATGACCATCATTATAAAATAATGAAACAATATAAAATATGAACACCTTAATAATTATTATAGACAAAAATAATCAAAGGTTAAGCAAATAAATGAGGTTAGGGACACCCCACTAAATAAATATACATAAAAAATAACATAAATAAATAAAAATAGGAGTAGATAAAATTTTAAAGAGATAAGGTTCTCCTCCCCCTTACCTGGATAAGTAGGAGCTAAAACTTGAGCAGAACCTCCCCCCTCTGGATTCCCTCTTTCTTTCCCTCTCTTTCTCTCTTTCTTTCTCTTTCTCTCTCTCTCCCTCTCTCTCTCTCTCTCTCTCTCT